AAAAATATCGTGATATCAGGTAAAATATCGTGATATCATATTTTCCTCATATCTCATGGCCCTCTCAGACAAAACTGTTTTTATTATAGTGGAAGTGTAATGTGAGGCATTCAGTTTAGCCGCAGGGTCATGCAGCGGTCATCATGCTACACTCTATACACTTGACTTCATGTGTGTAAAACAAATGTATAAATGTAAAACAGTACTAATTAATTTGGGGAAATAAAAGAGGCTCAAATCTCTAATATAGATAACAAATAAATACATGGCATCGTCTCATTGTCAAAGAAGACAGGCAGAGGAGACAACATGATGTTGATGTCTGGGAAGGAAAGCGAACATTTCTATGTCTTCTCTGATCTCACTGACGATTCTCCACCACAGCGATGCACTTTGACTGCTTTACACTCTTTAGCGTTAGGAGGCGGCTAATCGCTTCGAGTCAGGAGATGCTAGAGCGAGATTTCCCTTCCAGGCCTGCAGTTAGCCGTTTGATCTGTCTCTGAAACAAAAGTTTGGCTTTCTTAAAAACGTATCACTGTCCTAACGCTGCCCATGAACAGCTGCTCTGTTGCTGAGGATCAATCATTTGGGAAACTGAAGCGATGCCTCCTCTGGCCTCCTCTCTTCCACTCCTTCAAGCTTTTTATGCCACTACTCCACATCTTTGCTCTCCTGTGCTTCATCGCATTTTGCTGGTCATCTCTGCACTTTGCTTCCCCCCACCTGTCATCTGACCTCCGTGTGTGGCTCACAGCTGATCGCTGGACAGCTGGTTTCCACTGATAATGTTTTATGGTCCAACTCCTCATACCTGGAAACCAGTACTGTTTGGATGTGGTGCTCTGTGCACACACTAAGTGATGTGAATTGCACTTTTAGAAAAAAGGGAGGGTTTTTAAAGCAAAGCTTTTTATACTAATGTTAAAACAACGGTTCCCCAGCATTAATCAATAATCCATCCTCACACTCTTTGACTTTTCCTCTCAGTGTCAAGCTCTGCTGCAAACAGACAGACCCAGCTCTCAAAAGTCTCCATGATTCTGTTCATCTGGACATGAATCAACTTTTGATTGTGTTCATGGTCCAGATGAACAGAATCAGCTTCCTGGGATTTCCACACCTGGACTCTGGTCACACATTAATGACCACATCCTCTAAATATGGACATTTGTGACAGTTGGTTCAGGGGGTGACCGCGGTTCAGGGGGCTGGAAAGCTCATCTGTAACCGGAAGGTTGCCGGTTGGATCCCCCTGCTCTCTCTGTCCTGGTCGTTGTGTCCTTGGGTAAGACACTTCACCTACCGCCTACTGGTGATGGCCAGAGGGGCCGATGGCGCGATATGGCAGCCTCGCTTCTGTCAGTCTGCCCCAGGGCAGCTGTGGCTACAACTGTAGCTGCCTCCACCAGTGTGTGAATGTGAGAGTGAATGAATAGTGGAATTTGGGTGCCTAGAAAAGCGCTTTATAAATGCAATCCATTACTGACATGTCCAATTTTGGATGAACAGAATGCAACTGAAAAGCACCATCAAACACAGTCGCAGCTCAAGCTCAGCTCTCATTACTTCAGTCACTTTGGAGCTTTATCCAAGTTTCCAATGCACAGCAGGTTCAAATAGTTTCTCCGTCCTACAAAGTCCTGAAAATAATCAGAGTGAAGCTAATTCAATAACCAGCCAAACACAAACTTACAGAATTTAGAAATGATTATTTTTAAATGGGGTCAGAAAAGCTACGGTTTACTGATTGTTTATGTTTACACAGCTTGAGACATGCTGGGAAATGCAACATGAAGGTCGTGTTAGGGAATAAAGACTGATTATCTATCCAGCTGCACAGCAGCAGAGCTGGATAACCGATGGATCACAGTTTGCTAACTGTACTGTACAGTTAGCAGCCTTGAATTATCCCAGTGTTCTGGGACGACGTTTAATCCTCTCAGGGTGATGTCCAAACTGAGGCACCAAAATATTCATCCCGGGTTTCCCTTTAAATCTGTAGTTAGAGCCATAAAATAATTTTAACCAAACATGGAATATTCTCAGAGACGCAGTGAGAGAGATGATCCAGAAACGACTCAAACCAGCTGCTGCAGAACGGTGCAGCAGGGACAGGTGAGACTTTCATATAAAACAGCGCTGTGTGCGTGGACCAGGGCTCAACACGTCCTGCACCAGATGTTATCTGGAGTTTGAATGGCGCATGAAAAAAGCCCGTCTAAAATACACACTAAACCATTTTATGAAGAGGCCTCAGAGTCATACCTGAGCTCAGATTTGTGATTATAGACATTTGAAGAGAAACCAGCAGATGCGCCTGTAGCCAACACACCGCAGATGCTCCAGAGACTAAAATCCAGAGTCAGCGCAGTCTTTAAATGCTTTTATTTTTAGTCTCTGGTGAGCTCAGGCCCCTGGAGCTCTCACTACAGAGCTGCAGTGACAGAGACGTGGACACAGGAACTCTCCAAATGTTCACGCAGGAGTTCTGGACCCTAAGATGGGTGCTGCCAAAGCCTGTGGCGGATTTCTCATGTTCTGTATGACACAGCAGGGAAATGTGTTCACGTCAGACATGAGCTGCAGTGTTGTTTGCTCCAAACTTTAACACAAAGCTATCCTGCTGTGTGCTTCAGGCTGCTGTCGTGGTCCAGCAGGGAGGCCTGTGACCTGCAGAATCAAGGCTAGGCTACGTGGTCAGTGCAGACACCGCTGAGGACACAGCCTGATGCTTTCTGCGTGTGGAGGAGTTGCGGAGATGCTAGTCATCTTGTGTCACATTAATAAAAGTAGCATGTGTGGCTAAAGCACACCTCAAACACCACAAGCACGACTCGGGCTAGCCTCCAGGTCCACCATCAGCATCCCCGGCAGCAGCCCTCTGAGCGCAGGCCTCGCAGCACCGCTCGCCGTCAAACTTTGTCCGCACCACAATTCCGCACGACACAGCACGAAGCGCTAAACTGCGTCTTTGTGCTTTGCACAGCGGTGTGTGCGCGCGCGCGTGTGTGCGCGTGCTGTTGTCGCAGCAGGCTGCAGATGCTGTGAGGCTGGAGAGAGAGGCGAGCAGGCCCGACACAAACACAGCTCCGCAGCCGGAGCTTCCCCCGCCACGGAGCCCGGCCCGCGAGCCGGGTGAGCCGGGGCCGCTCGCATTTCCAGCCCTGCGCCGCAGCCCACCGCCCGGGCTCCAGCCGCCGTTTCCCGAACCTTTCCATCCAATTACCTCCGCTCGAAGCCCGTGTCCCCTGCCCAGCTTCGACCCGCTGCCGTGGGGCTTACCTCCTCATCCTGCGGACCTCCCGGGATCCCCGACGAGCAGGACGAGTCCAGTCCGGCGCCCAGCTCGTCCAGGCCCCGCTCCCTGCCCGGCTCCAGCTCCGTAGTGTCTCCGTTAAAGACGGGCGGTGGGGACTCGGCGCTGCTCAACGCCGCCATTTTAAACTGCGAGAAAGTGAGTGGAAAATAATCGAGGAAAACGCAACCCGGTGCTGAGGACAGGAGGGGGAGACAGAGGCACGGGCCAGAGCTCCGGACCTCTTTCGATTGAGTAAAACCGGAAAAAGCAGCCGTTTGAAACGACCACGGAGAGCTTCTTACAGCCTTCCTGCGTCCACCTGCCGCTGGGAGCTTCAGGTGCCCGGGACGCTGAACACGCAGGAGTGCTGCAAGGTAGCAACCCTGGATGACCTGAAGCGTGCCGAGTGCCAGGATTCAGCCCCTCAGTACTCAGCGTGGTAGGAAACGCGGGCTTAGCATGAGCGAACCGTGGCTGATTATGAGTGTGCGCTCAGCCAAAGTGAAACAAGTCCGCACAAAGATGGCAATGCAGTGAGACCCGAACATTAACAACATCTGAATTAAAACTTTTATTCACATCAATTCCACTTATTTAGCAGCTTCTTATAGATCACAAGTGGGGAACTCCAAGTGTCCAGGGCCGGTGTCCTGCAGGTTCTAGATACCTGAATCAAATGATTAGTTCATAACCAGACCTCTGGAGAACTTCAAGACATTTAAATCAGCTGTGTTGGATCAAGGACACATCTAAGACCTGCAGGACACGGGCCCTGGAGGCCTGGAGTTCCCCACCCCTGGTTTAGTAACTACCTGCAATAGCAAACCTTTTTCTTAATGTCACGGAAGTCAGAATGCAGTAAATGGATGGGCTGCTACTTAAAGAACACCTTAATACTCAATGTGAGCACTCGAAGCACTTTCTCCTACAATGAGACGCCTCATTCACCCAGTCGCACACACTCATAGTGCTTTTATCTGTGCCCAAGTACTGTCCGACACACACACACACACACACACACACACACACACACACACACACACACACACACCCATCCGAGTATCTCAGGGTTCAGTATGTTGCCCAATGATACTTCAACTCTTGGACAGTAGGAGCTGGCAATCATCCCGATTGGTCGATGACTCCACCAGCCTCAGTATTTCACAAATTGTTTAATGCCCACATGTGCTTACGTCCGCAGGTCGACCCAGAAAAACAGACTGTGGATAGCAGCATATGCTGAGCGTTTCCTACATGGAGGGATTTTATCTCCCTCTTCTTGATTTTTCCTCCTTAAAGGCAATAAAACAAAGTTTTGCACCACTCTGCAGATTTATCACATTGACTTTATTGTGAAAAATAAGGGTGTCTACTTCTATACATTTGAGCCGTTCCATCCACAGTCAAGCTGTCAGCAGCTAACGCTTCCTCCTGGGCTGTTCGACAGAAAGGCATTATTATGTGGTAATAAGATATAAGCACAGCCCTCTTACTGCCACACACACGTTCAATGACATACACAATTTAACAGAAGTGGGATACGCCCGACTCAGAGCGTCCTGTCAGCACAGAAACACAGGACAGTCCCGACCAGTGGAACGCTCTCAGGACCAGCATCCCACCACGGTGCACAGCAGCCAGCGCAGCCTGCACAGAAACCGAAGAACGAGTCCTGTGCAGCCTCGGGGAGCAGACGTGCCGCAGTTCACTTCTTCTTGCCTGCTCTCTTCCCCTCTCCTTTTTTTGGCGTCCCTTTTCCTCTCAGTTTCCTCAGACGACGCATCTCCTCCTTGAAGTCTTCATGCTCATCTCTAAAACAAATTAAGGATTTGATTAGACACAGTTTTTACTTCTGCCATACTTACATGCACTTCATCTTATGGGTTTCACTGTTTTTCATATGAGATCTCTTCAGAAAGTTATCAAACCATCACTCAGGACTTTCTGGTGAAGCAGCTGAAAGCCACTTTGAATAAGGGTACAGGACATCTCTGCAGACTTTACCTGCACGGGTATGTAACATAACAGCTACCCGAGTATATCTGTGACCCATTTGAACTTTTTGTTTCCCACTGGGAGTGATCACTAAAGGCAGTAAGGGTGTGGAGGCAGCAGAGGGCTGTGAGCTAAACCTGGTGGAGGAGTGGTGCAGCTAATTTGCTCCCTCCAGGCTGCTCACTGGTCGTCTGTCACATTCAGTGGACTGGTGGACATTAAATGGACACACAATCATACAGTGAAGCAGGTTTATCTAACATTCACACTCTGATGGACGGATCGGGGGCAACCGGGGTTCAGTGGGACACTTTGACACATGGACATGAGGAGCTGGGGATCGTTTCCTCGACCTCCCAACTGGTAAATGACCCACTCTCCCATCACTGAGCCACAACCAGTCACTTAAACACAATGATGTTCTTCATTCTTCTCCACACATCTTGTGCTGTTCTGCTCAAGCTAGTAGTCCTTGTATTTCTTCAGCTTCGCCTTCAGCTCATGCTGGACCCTCCTCAGTGGGAGCCTGACCTGGAAGCTTTAAGCCAGGGATGGGATCTAGATATCACACCTGAATCAAATGTTGAGTTCATTACCAGGCCTCTGGAGACCTTCAAGACATGCTGAGGAGGTCATTTAAATCAGCTGACACATCTAAAACCTGCAGGACGCCCAGAGTTGGACACCCCTGATCTGAGCAGTTAAACATGTCTTTAAGGGAAGTAATGAGCCAAAGCTTCTTGTTCACAGAGCAACATACAGCCCTGAGATGGTAAGATAGTGTAGTTACACACAAATGTGATATACTCTGTCATACAGCTTATTAATGTCCTCTCAATGTGGTTTACAAAGTTTATTCCAGCACGTGGACCCCTGCAGTGCCTCAGCAGCTTCAAATAGCCATCCTAATAACTCCAGTGACACTGTACGCTTTAGCAGCATTACCACACAGCATGTCTCGTTCTCTGTTCTAGTGCACACTCAACTTATTGTTGTCCAGTGAGGCGTGGTTAAAATCCCCACTGGTAACCATGAGACATTTTCCATAATAGGATAAATGATGACACCTCCACATCACATGATCTTTGAATGCACACAAAGAAACAAAACCCCTGATGAATAATACAGCAAATCATTTGGATACAATCAGTTCAATATCTGAGCCACAGAAGCATTTCATCACAAAACAGAATAAATAACAAAAAAATGCATATCTAGTAACAAGGTAATTAGTAATTAAGAATAATTAAGTGATTAAAAACTAGTGGGAAGTGTGGGAGTGGCAGGATGTTGTCAGGCTGCACAGCTCCATGGTAGGAAAGCCTGCTCCAGTGAGCAGTGGGTCAGCACGAGGCCACGCCGACGCTGAGAAACAAGAACTGTCGTCGAGTTACAGTCCAGACGTGAACCACACTTTACATTATTAACATTTATGGATAGAATCGAAGATGCCGTCCAATAGGCCAAAATCAAAGAAAGCAAAAACCCCTCTTCTTCAGACTTACCCATGATGACCTTTAAAATATTGCATTCAGCGTCTTATACTTTGTAAAGGAGTCATTTCAGTTTTTAACAAAAAGGCAAAGCAGTCAGAGTACTTTCTGAAGCAACTGCAGTTCACATTTCCCCCATTTATAAGTCACTTCAAATTCTTTCTGAAGTAATAAATAGTGGCTGATAAACTTCAGAGGCACCGACAGAGGCAGAGGGCGGAGCTTGGATCTCTCTCGGATTCCGGCCTTCACTTCCTGTTTATCTTTTTTGGTTTTGGAAACAATGTAACTGCTCCTGCACTGACATACTTATTGTATGTTACAGTGTTTCATGCTGAAGTGTCAATTTCAATTATTTATAAAATGTATTTCAAACAAAACATTCTAGCGTGCATATTCATATTTGTTTGTTGTTTAATCAGGATGATCCTCAGTAATCAGTTCATTATCACAGCTACACTGTAATGTAATTACATTTTTAAAGGGAGAAAATGACAACAGTGGGATTTATTTTACATTTTTTGTAAATCCCACAAAAAATGAAAATAAATGTTAATATCAGAAGTCATGAACTTTCAAACTCTTAAAAATGTGTTTCAGCAGCACAACTGTGTAAAAATAAATGAAGCCATGTTTGCTTTTACAAAGGTAAATACTGTCATCGTATCACAGGTGTATTCTACTGTACCTGAACAGACCCATGAACCTGAGCTTCTGGGTCACAGCGTAGTAAATCTTGTGGTGTGGGTACCAGTCATACACCTCCTTCCTCTTGGCCGTAGGGGGCTCCTGGAATAGCTGGACCACCTTCATAGATTTCGGGTCAGTTGGATGCACAACTTCTCCAAAGATCTGTGAGCTCAGTCTGGCCATCCGCAATGCATAGCTGGACAGGCCTGCCATCACTGATGAGCACAAGAAACATAGAGTTTGACATGTGACGAGTTTGGACACGCCTTCTCATTTAATGTTTTTCTTTATTTTACTACTTTCTACATGGTAGATACAAACTGAAGACATCAAATAAGTCAAACAGGATATATGGAGTTACGTAGCAAAGAAAAATGTGAAAAATAACTCTGAACACGTCATATCACAATGTACAGCTTTTGGGTTTCTTTGTGGTACAACTTATCTGTTTAATCAGCATGAAAGTTACATGAACGTAGCATGTGTAAAAGTATTCTACGTAAGTTTTTCTATGATTTTAAAAGAGCTGGTGATTCATCTTCATGGTAAGAAAGGACTGAAAATTTTGGGCTTTTATTTGGAGGAACAATGAGATGCTCGTGCTTGTCAGGGAACACTGGACCAGCTCTGCATCCACTCAAAACATTCAAGGGCGTCTGGGTGTTTGCCCAACTAGCCTGTGTGTGTTTTGTGGATTTGGAGCAAGCATTTGACCGTGTCCCTCGGCTTCCAGAGTAGATCGAGCCTGTTGTTGCAGGGTCCAGTTCCCGTGAAAGCTTAGTCTGCGCTGCATGCAAAAAGTCAGACTCATCTTCAGTGGGTTTTGGACTCTGCTGTTCTGCTCATAATATTTATGGACAGAAGTTCTAGTTTGCACTCAAGGGGTAATGGTGAGAGTCTAGTTCATTACCAGGCGTCTGGAGAAGTTGAAGGCATGTTGAGGAGGTCGTTTAGCCATTTAAATCAGCTGTGTTGGATCAAGGACACGTCTAAAACCTGCAGGACACCGGCCTTAGAGGCCTAGAGTTCCCCCACCCCTGCTCTACACGATGGTTTGGCTTCGCCTTAGAGACAGGGTGAAAAGCTTTGTTATTCAGGAGGAGCTTGGAGTAGAGCTGTTACTCCACCACACTGAAAGGAGTCAGTTGAGGTGGTTCGAGTATCTGACTAGGATGGCTCCCTGACACCTCCTAGGTAAGGTGTTCTGGGTATGTTTCACTGGAAGTAGATCTCAGGGCAGACCCAGGATACACAGAAGAGTAGATTTCTCAGATTTTTTGGAAATACCTTGGTGTCCCCCCAGGATAGCTAGAGAAGGTGGCTGAAGAGATGGAGCTCTGGGCGTCTCTGATTAGTAGTGATGGGATTTCCGGCTCTTTTTAGAGAACTGGCTCTTTCGGCTCAGAACCGCCTCTTCAGGTTGTTTTGTTGCTTGCTACAACCTTGCTATTATTAACAACAATATAAAATTATGCACAAAAGGAATTACTAATGTAAAAAAAAGTGGTTTTATTTATGTATGTTTATATATAAATATATACGGTGGCCCCAAGAGACAAAACACGTACAAACTCCAAAACACATTTCTGGCGTTAACTGAACTTCCAAAGCAGAGCTACTAGATCACTTAAATTACACAATTGAAAGCATGTGTGTATTGTTTGTGTATTTATACACAAGCACTCATATATATTCATATAATTTAAAGAAAAAATGTTCATTTACCTGTTACTACCACACACCAGATCCGGTCATTGGTACTTGCTGGCTTGTGTAGCCATTAGGTAACAAAAGCTCAACACTGCGCCTAGCATCCTGGAGCACTTCTGTTGTCTTTTGTACGTGCTTTGTCTGTAGGGGCCACCGTAAATATACTTTTATTTATTCACTCCACATAAAATGTAATAAATAAATCATATAATACAAAAACCAACTATTCACAGTTCAGCTTTTAACTATTTAAATTTTCAGCTTTTTCCTTTTAAACTAATTTAAAGTGAAACAACACAAAACACTGCAAACACAACACAATTAAATATAAATTATAATATGAAAACAAAAAGAAGATGCACATTCTCTGTCATATGGGCCTGCATGAATAAACTTTCTGAATCCTTTATCATCTGCAACTGAAAATAGTTGTGGATGATTACTATACCTTTCTAATGTGACCTTGCTGTCCCTGGCTCTCTCTCTCCCTCCTGCTCTGTTCCTGTGCTACTGAGTGTAACTACCGCCGCTCCCCCCTCTGCCCAGCGCAAAACACAAGGCTCTCGTGTGGAGTGAAGCGGGAAAAAGTGCAGAGAGAGAGGGTGAGAGAAAGGGAAAGAAAACCCAGGGCTCGCGATAAGGATCCGGCTCTAAGAGCTGTATTGGTCACACATCACTATCAGATATGTACTTATTGAGACATATAGCTGCATATGACTGGAATGCACACAGCAAGAACTGGTTTATTTTCCTCGCACTAATACACAATACGTAAAGGAAACAATAAAAAGCACAGTGAACATTTCTCCAAAAACATTTAACATACCATGTGCTGTAGTATAGCTAGCCTTCTCCCTGATGCTAATGTAATAACTAGCTTCAAGGGTTAATAAAGATCAGCAGGTTTTGGCCTGAACTGGAAAATGCAGTGTTAGCATCTAAATGATCTGAGACAATTGAGTCGGTCGTGTTGATTATTGCTGTAAATTATGAGAAAGTACAATTTTTCCTCTCTCTGCTAAAGGAGCTAATAAAGGAAACATATGTTAGAGCTGTTTCTTATAGTTTATAAACTGTATAATATGCTGTATTATTTAATTTAGTCCAGCCTGTTCTGGTCTTGGAGAAACGGCATCATTTCCATAGAAATGAATAAAGAATTCTGATTGAAGCACCATTGCTTATCATTTCAAATATTTAACTGCAGGTCACGTCACTCACAGAGCACAGTGGAGTACACATACACTGGTTTGTCGGTAGCAGCTCCTGAAACGCAAGACTGCCACACATCTGTTCGACCAACACCAGTTGATCTAAGCGCCAGTTAATCTGGAACACCGGTAAACCCAGGAGTCCGGCGGCGTAGATTTACATAAACTCGCTAAATCTAGATTATAAACTATGTTAACTTATCAAAGTGCGTTCGTGGGTCCGTATAATTCAGTTAGCAAGGTTCGTTGTATTGCAGATTTAGAACTATTAGTAATTATATATTAGCACGTTTTTAGTTACTTTGGGTCAGCTGGGATAAATTATACAGGGAGGCCGCCGAAGTGAGTTAGACTGGATCACTGAACAGCAGGTGAATATGAGACGTAGGGTTTCTGATGCTGCAGTCACAGGACGATCTGTTACTAACACTGTTCTGTGTTTGGACACGAGGAAGCAGCTCGTGTCTGTGGGCTGCTGTGAGCAGACGAACAGCTTCATGACAGTGAAATTAATTCTTACCGCAACTGCGCACGGCGTTGTTTCCCGAATCTGTCTGTAGCCTCTGCTTCCGGTAACAGGTAACAGGTAACAGTGCACACGTTCAACTAACCGTAACCTTCACCAGAGACGGTGCATCACGCGTGACACATGCTCCGTGGAGCTGATTGGCTTGTTCCTCTTACTTCCTGTTTGTGCGACTCTGTGTGAATTACACATATCTATCGTTGGAACAATTAGTAGTTTTTATTACACATATGTGTACCCGTTAGCCGTCATTAAATTCTCGAAAACACCATCCTAGAAAACAGTATCCTAGTCGACATATTCTAATTTATCTACGCATACACCAATGCGTTTACGCAATCAAAGCGGAAGTCCGTCCCTGTTAATAGTTCCGTGGATGTGACAGGTATAGGCAAAGTTCCGCTTAAATGCAGCTGTTCGCTTATAAGTGCAGGAGGCGCTGATTTTTAATTCGGCTTGGTAATAATGAGACGGAATTGGTTTGAAATACACTGTTGGGTTTCACTCAGGATTTCCAATGTACCTGCCTTCACATCTAAGGATGTTCTTTACTTTATGGACAATCTGGATTCTGAAATCTCAGATGTTGTCAATTTTGTAATAGTGCTATGTAAGTTTTTTATTCATTTATGTAAGTGGAAGAATGCCTCTCCTATGTTTACCGTCTTCTTGAATTACTTTTGTCAATATTTTAAGTCACTTAAGGTTATTTCAAATATGAACAAAAAAACTGCTGTAGCCTACTATGCTGTAAAATCACAAAATACTTGCTATTCTAATTTTCCTGCCTGTGTCAAAAGGTCTATGTTCCTTATTACTTTATCCTAGAAACTTTTATTTTCTCACTGTAAAGTTATGATGACTTGCTTCACCATCTTTATAATGTAAATTGTTACAATTCTGGTCTGTTTCCTTGACTTGTTTTGTATATGAAAATTTCTTTCAATAAAAAAATAATAATAATAATGAGACGGAAGCATTTCAAAACAACATTTAGCCCACGTTTTCTGCAGCACATAATTCAATTCAATCAATTACTCTTTACTGACACACTTTACGTCCATCGTTAAAAAAAAACAAACAACAAAAAACACAACATATAAACTTAATAAAAAAATAAAATATTAGTAAAGCTGGTATAGCTGGTAAGGGCGCACTAGCATCATATTAAATATCCTGTGGATTAAGAATGAGACTCAAGTTTATATTCATGTGCAGACAGATGAATGAATACTTCTGACAACACACACACACACACACACACACACACACACACACACACACACACACACACACACACAGGCACAAATTGGGTTTAATTTGCACCTGTATAAATAAAAAACTGTAAATTCATAATGATATTTTAATAACATTGTTTTGTGACATTTCATTAATACCTTTCTATTCAACATATCTTTGCTATTTACTTTCTTTCTGTCATTCCTTTTCACACAATCTCGAGTGTTTGCGTTCCTGACAGTTAAGTTCCTTGTATTTAGTTATTTGTATTTTCTCCAGCAATAAAGCTGTTGTTAAGTTCAGTCCAGCTCTAGAGTCCTGTATTTGGGTCCTAACCTGCCTGGCGTTTAAGACGTTTAAGGTAGGTGCATGGGACCCATGGCTCAGTGCTCTATGGGACCACAGTGCACACGTGTGCTTGAACCTGCCAACAGAGTCGCTTTACTGTAGTCACATTCACTCAGCCAGTCCAGAGTGGAGCACAACCAGCAATAGTGTAGTGTATAGTAGTGTAAGAATGCATGAGACAGTGTCATCAGTAGCACACTTGGAAAAGATGCTTTTGCAAACGTTTGTCTAAGAGCCGTGCGTTACACAGAACCTTTTTTTATTTACTGTGGTTGAATATGAGTTATTGAATAAAAAGCTCATCTACAGTACCAGCATCATGGTTTTGATGTTAGACTGTAAAAGTCTTGGTGACCTGAAGCGTTTTCACATCTGAAAATAGACTTAAATTAAAATGTACCAAAGTAAAGCAAGGCTTTCATGTCAGACAGCTCTGTCATAAAGCCACTCACCTGTCAAATAATATGTGCATCCAGCCTTTACATTACAGGCATCTTGTGGCTGAAGAAAGCTGTGCTTGTTTCATCTCATGGCAAAGTGTATTTATCTCTCTCTGAAGGCATTTTCGTCTCATGTTAACAAAGACTGCAGATGAGCAAGCTGAGGGGCCAGCAGCTTGTTTCTGGTGGTTTGTGCATGCTCGTTGTGGATAAACTGCCACTCTGTGACTGAACTGATGGAAGGTATGGTGCCTACTGTTCTGAGATCAGTTAGACCAGCTACAGTTGATGGCAAAATTATTAGCCCCCATCATGAAATTATACAGCACTCTTGATTTCAGTGTGAAAATGACCATTAACAACAAGTCTTTGTTTTGTATAGTGTGTCTGCTTCCAAAATAACAATGTCCACTAAGTTTAATTACAATATTTTATTGATACACCAAACTGAAAAAAGGGCAAAAATGAAACATCCAAAATTATTAGCCCCATGGCCATTAATAGTCAATACTGTACCCTTTCTGAGCCACAACTGACAACAATCTCTTAGAGTAGGTCTTTACAAGGTTGGCACAGGTCTCCTGAGGGATTTTGGCCTATTCCTCCATTGCAAACTGTTCTAGCTGCTCCAAATTGAATGGTCCCCTCCAGGATCTTGGTTTTGGTATCCTTGAGGAACTGTTGGACTAATTTTGATGCATGCTTTGGGTCATTGTCTTGCTGGAAGACCCAGCGATGACCTAAGCCTAGACTATGAGCAGATTTCTGCAAATTCTCCTTCAAAATGTCAACATAATTTCTTTTTTCATGATGTCATGCAACCAAACAAGGCTTCCTGTGCCCGAGGCGCCAAAACAGCCTCACAGCATGATGTTCCCAACTGTGTTCCTGGGGTTGAAGGCCTGTGCCTTTCTTCGCCAAACATAAGCAACAACTGTGCTGAGACAGTTCCAGTTTAGTCTCATCAGATCAAAGCACAGACTACCAAAACTCATCTTTATCTTTCAAATGTTCATGGGCAAACCTCAGTCGGGCTACGATGTGCTGCTCTTTGAGTAAAGGGGATATTCTGGGACGATGCTGCTGAAGTCAATGAAGAGCCGTCACAACTGTGTTCCTTGAAACATCAACTCCAGATGCAGATGTCCGGGGTTCCTTGCTGACATCTTTGACTATTTTCCTCTCCAGAGTTCTTGAAATCTTGTGCTTACGGCCACGGCCAGGTTTGTTTCTTACAGAATTCGTCTCCTTGTACTTGGCAATGATGCAACATACAGCATTTCTAGACACTGTGAATTGCTTGGAAATGGCAATGTAGCCTTGCCCTTTATAACGAGCCTCTACTATCTTTTTTCTGAGCTCCAGAATTATTTCCTTTGTCTTTGGCAATGGTCAGTAACAGTAACTCTCATGTGTTCAAGTCCCTGTTCCTTGCACCCTTTCTATGCTGATTGAATGTTGTTAGGAAGCCAGTTGACTGCACACCTGTGGTTTCAAAGCTGATTGGTGAATTGATCAAGGAGTTTTGAAAGCACACATTCACATAGGGCTAATATTTTTGACCACCCCATTTTTTTTATTATATTTGATATAAAGCAAGCCTAGAAATGCATTTTATAATGTACCAAAAGCTACTAAATAGCGCTGGTGAATGTTTGATTATATCAAGTTTCATCAATGCTGCAGACATTGGACAAAAGTTTAGCAAAATGATCCAAAATTCCTGGGGGGCTAATAATTTTGGCCTCAACTGTAGCATTAGCCAGTAAACGAGCTTCAGTAATTTAGCATCATAATAAATGGGATTCTCTTGCTAACAGCCTTGGGCAACAAGTGTGACGTCGAGAAGATGGAGTTTGAAAAAGTTTTTAATAATTCAGTTAGCATGAGCATTAGCATGATGGAGAGGGGGACGATGGCTCTGACCAAGCTGAACAGGATAGCAGAACGGTGAAGATGCTCATGTAGAGTGCATACAGGCAACACTAATGGTATGCACCCTACCATTTTATCATGGTAAAAAGGTGTGGTGAAGGAAGACAGTTTGAGGATTCTTATGTTAAACCACTGAGTACATGTGAAAGATGAGTAATGTTTACTCTGACAAACGTTGGATGAATTTCTTAAACTAAGTCGACACAGCAAAGCGAATTCGTTTGTTGAGTAAACCTAAAGGCTGTGAAGTTCTTCCTTTATTTGTATTTTGTCAGTGTTTCTTTCTTTTTCGACTTAGCTCATTAGAATTACATTTTCATTTTGTTTTCTACTAACTGAAGATTTTAAATGTAGAGCCGTTCCAGCAGGGTTCTGTTAGGGCATAGGTGTCAAACTCTGGCCTGCGGGCCAAATTTGGCCCGCAGCCTACTTACATTTGGCCCGTGAAGCCATACCAAATTACTATCAGAGCTGGCCTACTGGTATTATACAGCTAATATATATATTGTTTAGTATTAAGCTTTGCTTGTTCCATATTCAGTTTTTCAGCAAAACGTGTTTGAGTCCATAAGAAAAATTCATTCTTAAATCTGGAGGAATAAATATATTTCAATAAATATTAGCGTTAGCCCGCGACTTTGTTCCAGTTTTGAATTTTGGCCCACTGTGTATTTGAGTTTGACACCCCTGTGTTAGGGTCTTGTTTAATATTGTTGGGCTCCCTGTGTGACTATTTTTCCTTGTTCTCTGTATTTCTAGTTTAGGTTGTGTTGTTTGTTATTAGGCCCCTTTTCATGTCCTGGTCTCGTCTCTGTGTCCTTCCCGGTGAAGTCTTCCTCTTCTCCAGGTGTAGTTGCCTGTTTCCCAGTCATGTTTCTATGTGTCTGTCTGCTTTCTCTCACCTCTCTTGGCCCTCTCCCTTTGTTCCCTGTATTTTAGTCAGTCTGCGCCTCAGTTTGTGTGTCCTGTTTTATTCTGCAGCCACTTGTCCCCGTCTCACCTCTTAAACTGTTGCCAGCCGTGTTCTCCAGGTGTTTCCTCTTTGTCCTGATTCCCTCTTGTATTTAGTGTCTGTCTCCCTCTTACTGTGTGTCCTGTCTAAGTGTCAGTTCTCTGTTTGAACCTGTCCATTGGTATTTGCCAGTTCCAGTTTCCGAGCACAGTCCCGTCTGCTGTCTGAAATTTGGATCTGCAAACGTGCCTGCCACACGCAGCGTTTCCTGCCAGCTTCCTGCAGACACTGCTCTGTGTTTTGACTGCGCTTTCACTCTCGATCAATACTTTACCATTTATAATTTTTCATTCTGTTCAGTTTTTTCCCAATTTTCATTTAAGCCGAAGCTACTTTGAGAAGTTGAATGGATCTTTTGAATCGTCACTGAATTGATTGCAGCTCTAGGTGGCACCCGGAGTCTATTGCTCTTTAATAACAGAAGATGGCGCCAGATATGAAGAAACAGAAAGTAGAAGCCGAAGATTGTTCTGGATGTTTTCAGTCCAAATTTTTTAAAATGTGCATTTTTTATGTACCTCAGTGAATTATTTAAGCAGCTTTGATCAGCATAATTATGACCAATCATAAATTCCTTTAGCTTCCTTCTAAATATGTGACTCAATGTCTTTTTGTGCTGCAGTGCTCAAGCACCTACAAAACAAATGTGTCAGGCTAAATAAACAGCATACAACATACTAATATCAATATTGCCTACATTAACTGAAAAGCAGCTCTTCTGGGTCCTAAAATAGCCGGTTTCTGCAGAATATGGCATATTCTTTACGGGTGATGAAAAAAGTCAAGTTTAAGAACCAACACTACTTGAATTCAGGGAAACATGGTTTCAGCTGTCCCTTCATTTTAATGTGAACCAAAATGTTTGAGCTACACAGACATGAACATGGACCATAGTTATCAAAACCACCTTTGAGGTAAATGTCTCCACCAATAAACACTCAGAAGAACAGTAATACCAGCTTTGGTGTCACTGCTGGTCAGTCCACCAACATATGCTTTATACACTATGACTGACGGCAGCCTGTTCAGGAGCTGAAGCGATGCATGGTCACGTGACTGTGTCAAACATATGTTGTATTCCTGCAGGAAGCACTTATTGAGGCAAAACACTAGAAACAACTGAAAACCTATTTCACATGATCACATTTGGAAACTTCACAGCAGAAATTCCTGTTTTGCCCCCCCCCCCCATTAGTTTGAAGGGAACGGCTCAGCTTTCAGTGTTTCAAGCAGAATGTTCTAACACTGTGAGGAATCCACTCCGCCTCCATCGCTGCTTCGTTGGATTTTTCCGTTTAAGTGAATGTCAGTGCAGCACTCTGTAGATCTGGTTACCACAGATCGATACATCTGTAGCACATCTGTATATTTGTTCATACAATACCTGTAAATCTGCCCGTCTGTATAGCAATATAAACATCTGTATACTTAACTTATTTGTACATAATCTGTTCATAACTATTCCCACCTATATTCCTACCCGTATTGGTATATAATCTGCTCCTATTGCTCTTACTGCTCTTGCACGTGTGATTAGATTCAAACTGTAATGACAATAAAGTTGAATCCGAATCAAAAATCAAACCTGACTGGAGATTTCACGCGGGCAGCTGTAGTCATGTAGCCCGTGAGCTGACGGCGCTGCTCAAGACAGACTGGTGCTGATTGGTCAGCGCACAGGCCTGCTGTGTAGCAGCTGCCGTCATCCCCTCAGACGTGCTGGGGATGCTGACTGTGGCGCTGATACCCCTGCGCTGTGCTCTGGCTGGTGGGCTGCGGTCTGCGTGGGCTCTGTGGACACATCAGGTTGGTTCTCTAAACTATGAGCTGCACGTTATAGGTGGTGCATGTTCGTGCTCGTTCAATCGCACCCCTACATTCGGTAAATACGGCTGTATAAATCACTCGTTGCATGTTTGCACTCTTCCTCGTTCATCGTTACTGTCAGTGGGTGGGTTATGCAGTGGTTCGTGTCACGTATGGCCTACTACATGTTTAACTAAACCCTTAGCGGCGTGCTGATGTGTTTTGTGCTTGATGGTGTCGCCCTACTCAGACAGACGGATCCGTGGCTGGGAGCTGAAATGAGATAAGCGTCTTTTTCTCTCCGCCGAGGTGCTGCAGCGCGGCAGGACGGACGTGGGCACTTTATCACCGAAAACCTCCGCGTCCGGGGATTAAACGTATTTGTCTGCAGACTGTGCCGCCGGAAAGGTTCGCCTTCCGTTTGTACATAAAGGTCACCCGGAGGATGGTCCCGACGCTGCTCTCCAGAGGTGATGTGAGTTGAAGCGGTGGGGAAGCCGCAGAGGAGCTGTCCGTCTGTCGAGGTGCTGATGCGGCTGTGACAGAACCGAGCATGGCTGCGGGGAAGTTACTGCTCTACGCCGGCCTCTCTCTTTCTCTTTGCGCCCTGGGCATGCTGGCCGTGGCGATGTGCTCCGACCACTGGTACGAGACAGACGCCAGACGGTACAGGGAGCGGTGCAGGAGCTTTTCCAGCCGCCGCAAGGACCCGGGCTTCATCTACATCCCCAACAACAGCCTACCGCTGCGGGCCAGCCGGAGCAGCGTGTCCCGATGGCAAGAGAAGCTGCTTTTGGCCCGGAACAGACGGCAGCTGTTCGCCATGAGCGCCGCAGATGAATGTAGTAGGCAGTATAACTCCACCAACATGGGGCTGTGGAGGAAATGCCATCGGCTGGCCTTCGACCACGAAATCGAAGAGAGCATCCGGAAAGGTAAGACAAGAATGACACAGACGCTACGTTAGAGTGACAGAAACACGATGGATGTGCTGGAACATGAGTCGCAGGAAAGGATGCAGGCTGCTCTGTGGTCACTGATCGCACAATATAAATCATCCTGTTCTGGAAGCTCATGTTGCTCCACGGGCATGGCTCAGGGTTAGGGCCTGTTGTCATGCTATTTGCATGTTGACGACGACGCCGAGCAGCAGTGTGTGTGAACCTGCTCCTGCAAAATATGACATAATCGTTTCAGGATGTGCACGGGCTCGCCAAGCACTCAGCGTGAAACAGGAAGAGCTGCTTGTTGAGGAAGGAGCTAAAGAGCAGCATGTGACACTCTGTGAATGAGTAATGCAGCATTGCAAATCAAAAATGTTAACTGTGCTATAGTACAACAAGTATGTGCAGATGATCAGGACAGTACAGACTGTGGTACTGTCCATATTACTTCATCAACAGGAACTGGAGCCAAGTTACTCCCTCACTGACACAGCGTAGCTTCACATATGAGGGATTTGTTTGTGATCCTGGGATCTTTTGCTCGTTAGAAGAATGTGTAAACTGCTGCACTATGGAGTCACGTCACCTTTGTTTGCTATTATAAAGTGTAGCTTATCTATCAAAATAGAGTCAGGCGAAACCTATGAGGACCATATGAGACATGGTAGTTTTAGTACTGCTTATGCAAATGTTAATTCCTGCATTTAAACAAACACCCACCATGATTTGTATATTCAAAGTCCAGGTCCGTCCTTCTGCCTCTAACTGTGCTTCACAGGCGAGCTGCGTGTTAAGGCAAGGAGGATGAGCTTTCTGATGGAAGTTACTGGCTCGAGTCAAAAATGGAACAAGACTGTGTGTGTGTGTGTGTGTGTGTGTGTGTGTGTGTGTGTGTGTGTGTGTGTGTGTGTGTGTGTGTGTGTGGTGATATGTGAATATGTGTGTGTGAGCTGCAGCTGTGCCTTCCTTTGACAATGCCTGAATGGCCTTGATGGCCTACCATCTGCAGTAATGGGCAGCCCACAGTCAGAGCTCTCAGTGATCAGATGAATGCCTCCATAGAGAGCTCTGATCTGTTCCATCTCCATCAGCTTGGAAAACTATGTGTGGTTTGTCTCCATGATGCCTCTGAGTGTCACCTCACAGTAATGGATCGATAAGGACGTAGCTGTGGGCATAAACACTTAAATCCATGCATGATGCATGTACAGTTGTGTGATCATCTAACAACTCCTGTAGCTACATGCAGCTGCTTTACAACAACACAGTCAGCAGTGACACCTACAAGCAGCAACCTATTAGTACCATATTTTACCAAATTACTGCTGCAACTACACCACAAATACAATTGCTGCCAATTCTTTTAGTGATACTGGTATTACTAATACTACTGTTCAAAGTATAAAAGTTCAGTGGGAACACCAGACAGGCACCAATACCCCATCAGCCTTTTATGGCTGTGTACAAATGCCTGTTTAAATGTCATTTTTGTGATGTTAAGAAATAAGAAAACATAAATCATATTAACAAATAAGTACTCGAAATGTAAAAACAGTAATTGCCCCTAAACCTAGTAAGTAGTTCCCAAAAGGTGGATTCTGTCCATCTGGACGTTTTCAGTGGGAGAAACGTTTCCTCATCATCAGGTGACGTCTTCAGTCTCAGCCGACTGCAGGTTTCAACCTTATAATCAGGACATTTGCACAATGACTGAAACCAGCAGCACCGAATGAACGATGGGCTGTGAGGTCAGTTTGTTGATCACTCTTTCAATGATGAGGACGTACACGTCCTGGACACAGAGTCAAGGAGGCCATTTATGTGAAAAGGGAAAGACCATCTCTGAATGGAGGAGGGGGCCTAAGGGTACATCTGTCACCATCTAATAATGCTGTGATTGCAGCCATTCCCCAACTCTCTCATGGTTATTGATCAATCATCACGACAATTTGGATATTAATGATGAAGGAACTGACCTCCCAGCCCAGTGTTCATTCAGTGCTGCTGGTTTCAGTCATTGTGCAAATGTCCTGATTATAAGGTTGGAAAGCTGCAGTCAGCTGAGACTGAAGACGTCACCTGATGATGACGAAATGTTTCTCCCACTGAAAACGTCCAGATGAACAGCATCCACCTTTTGGGATTACTTACCTGGATGACTGAGCGTGCATCAATACAACCTAATAACTGGCTGTGCCACCCTTGGCAGCAGCAACTGTAACTCAAGTGTTGCAGTAACTAGCAATGAGTTTCCCTTCCTCGTGGGGGACATTTGACCCTCTCTGCTTTGCAAAATTGTCTTAATTCAGCCACACTGATGGTTTTCCATCATGGATGACCTGTTTAAGGTCATTCCAAAGTATCTCAATCATTTACATTTGAAATTTAAACTCGGCCACTCAAAAATCTCCAGTTGGTTTTTGTTGTCATCCAGAGGTGGACCTGCTGCATAACCCAAGTCCTCTTGAGCTTCAGGGCAGAAACTGATGGCTGGACATTTGCCTTCAGGATGTTCTGTTAGACACCAGAATTCATGGCTCCATTAATTGTAGCAGGTCATGCGGCCCTGAAGCAGCAAAGCAGTCCCAGACGATCACACGACCACACATCATGTCCGACTGTTAGTTTGATGTCCTTTTCTGAAATGGTGTTAGTTTGAAGGCAGATGTAACGGGACTCAAACCTTCCACAAAGCTCAACCTTTCCCTCACGAATCTACAGAATATTTTCTTAAAAGTCCTGGGGATCATCAACATGTTTTTTTTTTTTGCAAATGCGAGACGAGTCTTTGTGTTCTCTTTGGTCAACAGTGGTTTTCTCCTTGGAACTCTCCCACAGATGCCATTTTGCCCAGGCTCTTTGTTATCGTTGAATCACGACCTCTGACTGTAAATGAGGCAAGTGAGACATTTTTAGATGTTGTTCTGGGTTCTCCTGTGACCTCCTGGATGAGTTGTTGATAAACCCTTGGAGTACCTTTGGTAGGCTGGTCGCTCCTGGGAAGGTTCATGTGTGGATAATGGCTCTCATCCTGGTTCACTGGAGTCCCAGAGCCTTAGAAATGTTTTTGTAACTCTTTCCAGACTGAAAGCTGTCACTTTGTTTTACAGCTTTTTCTTTAAAGCATGAAATCATGTGTAGCTGTATGAGATCTTTTAGCCTGCTTTACTTTGTCAGAGAGGTTCTATTAACTGAACTGAGCTTTCCAACAAATGTGGTTAACCTCAGTTAATTCATGATCGACTTTTAGGAGAATCTTTCTCCACATTTATGAAGATTAACTAGTATTGTGTTGTTGGTCTAACAGTAAATTAGCTGAATAACCAGATATGAACCTGGATATTTTAATATGCGCTTGCCTCCCCATATTCTCCTGCATATGGAAAAAACAAAGAGCTCAAGTTATTTTATAGTGCTAATATCTAAAGTTTTTTCACAATTACCAGGCAAGAGATTGAAACGCCAGCAGCCCTTTGATGAGGTCTCCTCTGTGTTTGCTTTGGTGCATAAACTTGTGCTAAGGGTCACCCAGCTGCTCCCAGTGAGTGTGTACACACACACACAACACACACACACACACACACACACACACACACACACAGAACACAACAATATAACTCTGGCACAGCGTAACACACAAACACACACACACACACACACTTTTTCCATCTTAACCTCAAACCCTGCTTCCTTCGGTCCACATGTCTCTGGACAAGACACTAAATACACAAACTGACCACATACTGCTGCTTCTTCATTGCTCTGCATCCTTGTTATTGGACACACATCGAAACACTGATGAATCGTGTCCTGACCATTTTAAATAGATTATGCTGTTTTTGAAAAAAAAAAAATATAGAACTTGTTAAATATAAGACATGAATCATTACCCGCCCATCACTTTGCACGGTCAAATCTGATTCCCATCCACATTTAATTTCAAACTTAACAGATCTGAGACTAATGTTTTGGTCCTCATTCATCTCTCTGGCATGTGCTCTAATATTGCTCCAGCGTTCAGTGTTTAGCCAGATCAGCAACATCCCTTCATCTCCTCATTTTCCAGTATCTTCCATAATAGCATGCTGCATCATTATGCAGATTTATGGAAAGAGGGCAGAGAAGATGAGGTATGAGGTCAACGGCTACAGTAAGAGGATGACTTATCAAGTGATTATAAATTATTTCTTTACAACAAACCTCACAAAGCATATTCAGGTGGAGTCTGAATGACACAGTCTGTAAGTCTGTATCAAACAACCCACACATAAAAGAGTGTGTGTGTGTACGTGTTTACATATCTTTGTGGGGACCAACAATTGGAAATTTACTATGGTTGTGGGGACCAACAACCCTTAGGGGGACAAAATCCATCCTCACGAGTTTAAAGGTACTTCTTCAGACTCAAAATGTGGTTTTAGTGTCAGGGTCACAGTTAGGTTATAGTTTAGGTTGTGGGTTAGGGTCAGGCATTTATTTTTGATGGTTAGGGTAAGCGGCTAGGGAAAGCATTACGTCAATAAGATGTCCCCACGAGGATAGCAACACCAGATGAGTGTGTGTGTGTGATGTTGATAATCCAAATATGTGTGTGTTACAGTGAATGGGCATGGTGTGCGATCTGCTGGAGATGTACTGCTATGGAAGCAGCTCACTCTGCTGCTGTGTCCGTCCCAAGGAAGGGACAGATAAAACAACAATGGACAAACATAAGCTAAAAAGTGGTATGAGACAGAAAATGAGAAGAAAGAGAAAACCAATGATGGCTGTGGAGAACAGGATGAACAGGGAGGGGAGGATTACAGAGAGAGTGTGGTGGGGGTGGGGGAGTGAGGTTTCCTGTACCATCTGCCGTCACCCTGTGAGGAAAAGGCCTTTCAGTTCCTCATAAAGACATTCACAGTCCCGTCCAAGCAGAAACAGCAGGGGAAGGCCTCGGATTGGATTACTCGATTCCCCAGGAGACCCGGGGAGGGTTAAATTAGATACTA